AATCCCTGGCCATACTAACCCCGGGGTCTTGAGCGTGCATCACGCAGTAGCGGTACACGAACGCACTCCTCCGGTGCTCATCCAGATGGCAGCCGGCGGGGGCGCTGATTGAGGATTCCTGGGTTCTGCAGCGCGAGCATTCGCTCCATGTACTCCGAGCTGCAGTGCGCTTCGGCCGCCGGATCCTTCAGCCCAGAGTGCTGTGTTGGGGCTTGCTACCATTTGCGCCAGACTGCGCCAAAGTACTTTCCCTTCTGCTTCCCGATATATTTAACCAAAAATGGAAGAAATTCGCGCCCCAAGTTAATTCCCCCCCCCCTTCTGAATACCGAAATGAACAGCTCAGCTAGGCCATGTATCGAACCATGGTTAAAAGCGCTAAAAAGACGTACACAAGATAGAAGACAAACACGGGCGCCCGTGTTTGTCTTCTATCTTGTGTGTTTTTAGCGCTTTTAAGCATGGTTCAATACAGTCAACACCAACTAGCCCAACAACAAGTTCTTTTACAGCTAGGCCATGCTTTGATTAAACTGCGCTGCGAAGGATTCCAAATAACGACACTGAGACGAGAATTACACGAGGCAACATACAGAAAGAGGCGCCTCTTTTTCTTTGTCGTCTTTTTCGTCTCGGTGTAGTTAGTTGCAATGCTTCGCAGCGCAGTTTAATCAAAGCGTGAAAAGCCAACTAACCCATTCCCAAACACGAACTCCTTGCCGTTGTAAGCCATGCCTGCGTGCTTATTGTTTTCTGCCGCGTGAAAAGATCTCCTTTACCTCGCATTCGGTGAAACAAGTTTGCGTTCGTAGACTGTTGCAGAACTATATTTTAGCTTCAAATCTTCTCTTGAACCGAGCTTGAACCAAGCTTCGAAACTTCATTATCGTTAAGCATTACGTCTCTTACTTGATTCCATGTTTTTATCGAACTGCGAAAATACTGGGTAGCTTCGCAGTATTTGTTATTTGTAGCCTGTTTTCTTCGCTCAGGGTCGGCGTAGCTCCGTGGAGTCTGCTTCTTGCCGCACCTTTGTGCACTGCCGAGAAGCGACCCCCGCGAAGTGGGCTTCGCCATTTAACGTGCCTTGCTTCCACGCAGAACATCCGGATGGTTAGGGATAAGCAGCCCTTCTGAGCGGAGAGTGCAGTCAAATAGTTGGAAAAAAAATAGCGATTACTTTGTTCCACTATTAATTATTTTATAACAGAACCGCGGCTAATAAATATGCAAGTTACGTAGACTCAAGGGGCATGCGTCATTGGTCGCATTTTTTTTATATTTATGGGGATTAATATTTGCGGCATTGTGAGATTATTTCTGAATAACCTTGATATAACTGGACTGAACTACAGGTTTAATTTTTATGTCAAATCCCTCGTTTTGTTGCCGCCTTTATATTGGCCTCCAAGTATTCGAGCGCACGGCCATTCAAGTGTAAGTTAAAACTCGATCACTTAGCTTTAGCAATAGTCTTATAAAGAATTCATCTCCATTTCTTTAGAACTGCATACCGTGAGATCCCGTATGAATGCCCTCCCCTGAGAGATCGCCCATCCCTTCGGGTGAATAACAACTTCCGAAACATCTCCCCAATTCCCGTCTCACGCGATGTCTGACGGGGTTCGCATCCACCGTGCGATCTGCGCCGGTACGTGTGACAAGCGAGTTCATACTCATACCAGGTTCTTGGATGTTTATCGCACCGTGACAGGCGAATTTGCTGTGTCCGCAATATGCGGTATCCGTTCCCGCGAGTTCGTAGCGGGTACTCGCGTTTTTTGTCCCCGATCCGTGCAAGCGGTTCCCGTGACACCTGAGTTTGTGGTGGTTTCTCGCGTGTTTATCGCGCCGTGACACGGGAATCGGGAACGATGTCCGTTCCCGTGACATTCAAGCTCGTAGCGGTTTCCCGCGTTTTTTGTCCGCGATCTGCGTGCGCGACAGCTGTTCCCGTGACACCCGAGTTTGTGGCGGGTTCTCGCCGTAGCCCTTGTTCCCGCGTGTTTATCGCACCGTGACGCGCGAACCTGCTGCGTCCGCGATCTGCGTTCCCATGGCGTGGGAGTTCGTAGCGAACTCCCGCGTGTTTATCGCACCGTGGAACGTGAATTTTCCCTGATATTGTCACGAATGACAGGCAGAAAGACGGTTAGCGCAGTAGGAAACTAAACGTTTAATAGAGGCCAACTTGTACCCAGAACAAAAAGAGGTAGCGTCGCAGGCGTCCAAGTTCGGCGGAGTATCGAGCGCAAGGGCGAGGCTGTCCTCGGACCGCCACGCGGTGCACCTCTTGTACCCGCGTGGGTTTCGGGAACATTCGGCGTAGAACGTTTGGGGCTTAGGACATTCGTACCTCGATCAGACGACAAGGTTCTCCAACTTACGAGAACGCTAAATTGAAAGAACACATAAAAGGTGTGTCCGCTTCCAGGAATCGAACCTGGGACCTCCGCGCGGAAGCCAAACACGCTTCATTCGGTCACGCACGCACGCGCTCGTGCGGTTTGTAGCGGTGCCCCCTGTTTATCGCTCATTTTTAACGAGTGATAGACAGTGGTTTTGCAGAAAAGTCGCTGTTTCACCGCTGTGTCGCTGAAAAGTCTGTGTCGGTGGGGCGGGAAAATCCTGATTGGTCGGTTGGGTAATGACGTCACAGCCACATGACCTCACGCGGTCATGCGGCTGTGACGTGACATGTAATGGGAACTCAAGGTAGTCGCGCATGGCGCAAATGGTGTCACTTTATAAAGTAATTCATTTGGCTTAAAGACAATTTGAAGAATTTCGTCTTTAAACCCAGGACCCTTCAGTAGCGAGTCAAACATGCGTCCGACTGGGCCACGCAGACACACGTCTTGGGAAGGATTCGCTTTAGCTATCGCGTTCCACTCAGCTTTGCATAAGATTTTGCTGTCAGCATACTCAAAGATTGCCCACCTCATAGGTTCCTAGATAAGAGTTCCTAGGTAAGAGCTTTCTACAAGTAGTGACTTTCTTCAAAGCGCCGATTGCGTGACGGTGATGGTTTTAGGAAGCGAATGGCGGCGCACGGCAGAAGACTGAACTGAATGACGCTATTCTGTTCCAGCGGAATGTTCTTTTTGTATCGGTTGTCGTTACTTGTAAAAAAAAAAAGTATCGACTTTAATAGGTACTTCAATCTATTATTTACTGATGGTTTTCTTTTTCGCCGCAGTACTTTATCTTTCACTTTATACCTCAATAACCATCCACAGATGATCATCCTTCATCCCTCAGCATATGACTGAAAAGCACCTGCTGCAGTGAGAAAAATAATGGCATTGGTCATACTATTTTTCTTTCTGCATCTAAGCCCAGCTGCAGACAGTTAGCTTATACTCCGTTTCACCTTCAGTCCGAGCGCAGTGGACGCCACGAGCCATCCCAGCCGATCCAGAGCCGGGAGAAAGTCGCGTGACCTGCCGGTGGGGCGGGGCGACACAGGGAGCTCAAGGTCGCATGACACTCCCTCAACGCCGCATTGGCTGGGATGGCTCCTAGCGTCCGCTGTGCTCGGACGGAAGGTGAAACGGAGTATAGTGTGTGAAGGGATCGTATAATTGTGCAATGGGTAACACGTCTTACAGTAATTTTTGCTGCTGCAAAATTGACTTTTGGCTGCTTCAAAAGGTGCTCCAAAATCACTCTGTCCAATCACATTGTAGACCTTCAACTCTTTGAAGGTGCAATCAATAAACATTTTAACGAAAATTAGCTTTAGCTGCAGGAGAATGGAAGTCTGAAAATATATCAATGAGTTTAAACTTTAATTTAAGTAGCTTTGTTATCACCCAAAGAAAAAAAAAAAAAAACGTGGTGCATATCAGATATTTGAGAAAATACCCCCTCCTCCCTTTTTCTCTACCCTAAAATGTTATACATGCGGAATTCAGGGGAAGGGGGGCGGGGGAGTCAGGTCGGGACATTCGGACCCCTCCTCTGAATCCGCCACTGCCCACATGCTGTTATTGTATAATAAAGCATCGTCTGCATCTAAAATATCATTTATGCATACCGTAACATTCCGATGAATGCCCACCCCCGAGAGATCGCCCATCCCGTTTTCCTGGCACCTATAAGATAAAAATTCCGAAACATCGCCCACCCCCCGATTCCCGTCGGACGTCACGCGACGGGAATCGCAACAACCGCGCCTGTCAAGCAAGTTCGTCGCGGGTTCCCGCGTTTTTGTCCGCGACCTGCGCATGCGATATCGGATCCCGTAACACGCGATTTGTTCCTGCGTGTATGTTGCACCGTGAAATGCGAATCTGCTGCGTCCGCAGTCTGCGGTATTTATTCCCGTAACACAAGAGTTTGTAGCGGATTCCCGCGTGTTTGTCCGCGAACTGCGCGTGCGATATCGGTTCCCGTGACAGGAAAGTTTGTAGCGGGTTCTCGCGTGTTTATTGCACTAGCTTGAATCTCCTGCGTCCGCGATTTTGCGGTATTCCGTGAGATGCGAGTTCTCGGCGGTTTTTCGCGGGTCCTTCACGCACCATGAAACGCGAATCTGCCGCGTCTGCAACCTGCGGTATCCTTTCCCGTGACACAAGAGTTCGTCACGTGATTTGTAGCTGGTGCCTGGGTGTTTATCATGACTTTTTGATAAAGTTTTGCTGTGGCATCCCCAAAGATATCCCACCCCATGTTTTTCACCATTCATCTCTTCATTATGGGTGGGCGTTTTTTCGGAGCTTTACGGGTATATGGGGAGTTAAAAGCTTCTTTAGCTGAATTAAGAAATTAAGTTTTATTGCAGCATTTTAAGAACTTGACAGTACCTTCTGTTAGGTGCTCTACACTGCTTTATTCTAACGTTATCTCACTATTAGGCTAGTGGAGCAAATGAGAATGGACCATAATCTCCAAAAGTTTTTACTTCTGGTTGTCTCAAAAACGGGGCCCACAGTGACTTGGACCAGTCGAATTGGTCGAGACGGCTCACCCGTGGCATCCTTTTCTTTCTGTTCCAGGAATACAACCTTGAACAAAAAATCGATTTGGAGATAAAGATGCGCGAGGGAACAACCAAACTGCTAGCGGTATGTCAGCACCGTCCTCAGAGCCTTGAAGCGGCGAAATCCCTGCTCACTTCGAACGAACGGATGTCCGCATATATGACCGAACTGCAGCGCAGGAAGACATCTGACTGTCCTACTTTCAACGAAAGGTGAGCTCATTTGTTCGCTCTTTCATTCTCAGAAAGTAACGACCGTTTCGTGCATAAGTACCCCGGGAGTATTCACTTCTGGTCTGGGTCGCACATGCGCAGTTTTGTTTCCTCATCCAATGTTCACACCCAATGCCACTGTGATTTTTTTTGCGGTTCATGCTTTGCAATAATCCCGTTGAGGTCTGTCCAGCAACTCCGAAGTCCAGCCTGTGGTAAGAGTTTTGACGCAACAAATGTGAAACCATGCAGACTGTGAAAGACTCATTGACAAGTTTGTGAAACTTGCAGAATCAATGCAATGAGCAAAGGAAGGGTGCGGAAGCGGGTTTGGGTGTTTGATGAAGGGAGACAAAGCACTCATGGTGCAGTGCGGAGCAGTGGACCATCTCGGGTCATAGACGATTTTGTGGAGGAAGTAAATGAAAACAAATATATATATATATATATAAAGAACTGACACTTTCCAATTCCTGATCTCGCAATACATCTCCCTGAAGGCTTGTAAGCATTACATTACAAAATAATTACAAAACACTTCAGTAGCCCAAATGGTTTTGCGATGGACACGTCTATAGAGACTCAGGTGCCACAGTTCCATGAGTAGTGTACCAAAACATGTGCCATGATGTAAAAAATGCTGTAACATTGAAGGGGATTACATTAAGTCGTAGATGCAGGATTTTTCGAAAATAAAGCATTTTGCCAACAATGTTACACACCTTTTTTGTTTGTTTTAAATTTCAAACGGGTGCTTTTTGATGCCTGTTTTGCACTAATTGCTATGTAAAGTTCTTATGTTTGACTGGCATTACAAGGAACCTAAATGACTACCAACGATCATTGTGTTTGTGGTGATCACAACAAACAATACCATATACAGTGGCGATGACTGAACATAACTTATGCCAGCGGTTGGACACACACACAAACCCTGATAACAACAAATTTCTCTTTAGAGTTTGCTAAGTGGGCAGAATGCTCGTGAGGGTGCTATTGCAACTGAACAAATTGTCAACTGCCAGTTGTGGCTCGCTTTGTAAGAGCAGAAGAAAAATACGGCCTTATGCATATAAAACTATCATGTTTGGCAGCACGGTGTGCACATACGCACACATGCACGTGCACACACACATTTCCACACTTTGCCGATGTTGGACACCTTATTGGTTGTTTTTATTGTTTGCAGCGATCAACTTGCAAAGGGTGCAATCAGACATGTGTGAATTGTACATTTTATGTTCGAAGCAAATTCTAGAGTGAATAGTGGTTTGGCCGAATATTTTCGAATCAAATATTGAATAGTTTCTCCAATCCTTTCACCACTGCATCATACTTAATTTAAACAAAAACCCAGCTGAACTCATAAAGGTTGTTCCCAGTCTTCCACTGGTCCATTTCTAAGCCCATTCTAATTTAACTACTGTAAACCACTTAAATTTCATGAGAACCTAATTTTCGCGAATTGCCTACAATTCGCGAAAAGTAGGTCCCGCAAACAATTCCGGTAAAATGTAAACACGTTGACACCGCGTCGCGAAAATTAAAACCTGCGAATTATTCCAAAACTTCAGCTTTGATCTAAGTCGCAAATTATTAAGCCCGTTAAAATAAGTTGTTTACAGCATAATTATAGAATGTGGCCTCAGAAAGTTCAATACATACTGGGATGGCAAGTAGATGCATGGATTTAAAAGCCTTCTTGTTATATGCAAATATCCTTTATTAAATATGGAATTTGAGAAAAGAAAAAAACAAAAAAAAAGAATCATGAATGATGAACACAGGTTGTCAGGACATCTCTGCCTAACATATACAGTATAGACCACTTACAACGTAACCGCTTATAGTGCAGGACCGGGTATAACGCGGTTTTTTTAAACCACCGGTTCGTCTCCCATAGAACTCCATGTAATTACATACCGCTTAAAATGCAGGTGCGCGAAGGGAAATACCGGTTATAGTGCGGTTTCTGGCACAGCCCGCCGGCCACGCCGACGACCGGAGCAGCGAGCGCGCTTCCCTGTGCGACACTAGATAAGGGCGCTGACGGCGCGAGCCGCAAGCGTTGCGCAAGCGGCACTCGCGGGGCAAGGAGGGTGCTCGAAGAAGCGGGAGAAGCGAAGAGAGAGGCTTCAGTTGCCCTAGCGACGGAGAGACGCACGCACGTGTCGTTCACGTGCGTGCGTCCCTCCGCTGCGTTGGAAGCAAACAACCGCAGCGACAGACCAATCGCAGGTCGAGGAGAAGTGTTGCGCGCGTTACATGCCGGTCGCGGGCCGGCTGCTTCTATCCGCAAACACGGCGTCAACGGCGTCGTGTGTGATCGTCGTCGTAGACGGCGTTCATCTCATCGTTCCGCGTAAAAGCGCTATCCTTGACTGTGAATTTTCGTTGTGTGTCGCTATGATAACCCAGCACGTACTAGAAGGGAAGATCCACCTACTCGTGCGGCGATGTCAAGGCGGCGCTCTCAAGACGGCAGAAACGCCCGTGTCGTCGTGTTTGCTTACTTCGACTACAGTGGTGATTTCTAAGCATTTGTGTCCTCGAACATCGCCCGGATTTCTTATTTGGCGCATTTCATGCGTGCGCTCAAGTTCAAGGTATTACTGGCGCGTACCGTGTGAAGGATGCGAATTTTCACGCGTTTTCATCTCCGGAGAAAAGTGATTAGGGTTAGCAATCCTGAACGCTCTCAACGTCCGTCCGCAACCCGCGACGCCGTTAAAAGGCTGCGCCAGGCAAAAGCTGCTCATTTCTTTCAAAATGTGTAACACACTTGAGACAGAACTGTACTAGTCAGGTGAAATAAAGACTTTCCTCAAACTAAGCTTTATTTTTCATCTAACATAAAATAAATTCTTTGCACAAGTGTAAGTTGGCTCATGGCATGTATTTTGGCCTGAAAAATTGATGTTTTGGTTATAGTGCGGTACCGCTTATAGTGCGGATTTTCGCGACTCCCGCGACATACGTTATATGCGGTCTACACTACTCTTGCATAATAGCCACAGTTTAATTTTGCAAGTTTTAGTTTACTGTAGATATATACATTCACAAAGTTTTCGTTTCTTTTTAAATACATCCGGCGCATGCAGGCACCATCCTGCTTTGCAAGTGTGCTTTCCTCCTAAGCACGCAACTGCAACAATCGTGTTTTTCGAATTGTTGATCACTCATGGCGGGTTAACCCCGTTGAGCGCGCTTCTTTCCGAGCACCAGTGCACTCCGGAAAAGCAACACCCGCAAAGCTCGCTTCCGCGGGCGTTGTTTCTCCGTAATGCACTGGTGCTCCGCAAGATGCGCGCCCAAAGGTGGCAAACCTGCCGTGATCAACATTTATAAAAGTACAAATATCGCAGTTCATCTCGAAGCGAATATTAAAGAGTGTATTATTCGAAACTGCTATTTGAAAATTTGAATATTCGCACAATCCTAGTGCGATCAGTTTGAGCCACGACACAGGTGCATAGAGTCACATATACCTGTTTTAATACTGTCCTCTCGCAAGTTGTTTGAAACAGACGTGCAATAAAAGCCATCATACCTAGCAACATCTGCTCCAATTTTCTCCAAAGAGCGACTGCTAGAGAACTGCAGTTGTTTGCTGTTCAGGAGACGCTGCCAGAGCTCGGGACCAAAGTTGCTTTAATTTGGAGTCTCGGGTGTTGTTATTGAATGAGCCCAAAAGCGGCAAGAAGAGACACGAAGTGGTTGCAAAGGCAGGATAGGTGAGAATATTGTGTAACAGAGAGAAAAGAAGAACAGCAAAGCTTGTGAAGTAAAGAAGCGTACACCTGCATCAGAGCGAGAGGAGTGGGGGATGGGGGTACAAGATGTGAAAAGGGAATCGGGTTAATTTCAGTAGGGGGTAGTGCTCTCGATACCTGATCCAGGACCTGTTTGTCTTGCAGCACTGGCAGCCCGTCGGTGGAGCCATCCAATGCGCGTGTGGCAGTGTCAGGTACTCCCGGCTTTTCGGAGTGTGGTCTCTTGGACAGGCTCTCATGGTGTTGACTTACTGGGCGTTTCAGACATCCGGATGCCCTTGATCTGGAAGGACACGGACCATTTCAAGAACAAGGGCGACTACCGCAGGTTTGCTGTTTTCTGCTTGCTCAAGATCGGAACCGAGATCTACGACACAACCATGGTCAGCAACATTGACCGGAGCATGACGGATGTGTCCTTCGAAGACGTAATTGTCTTGTGAGTCTTCCCTCTTAATTACAAAACAACTTTTCTTTCAGGAGTTGTTGAGCAGAGTAGTTATGTTTGCTTTGCTTCGGTTTATCCAAGTGCAGCCAAGGGCTAGAGGTTTGTGGCACATCCTTGTACAAGTTTTTTCTGTGCCAGCAAGCTGAGTGTCTGCCCAGATGCTGTGAAGAGACCTTGTTATAAATTGCCACATGTTTTCTTGCGGATAGTTCCATGTAAAACAATGCAACTTTTGAGGACTTATCAGGTCAGAAAAATGCTAGGTTTGCCTCTGGGTGGGATAGTACTCCATATTTCTAGTTTCCTTTGAGCATCATGCAAGCAGTATCGAGAAGAGACCATTCCAGCCTCATTTTAAAGATCAGATGATTAAAAAAGGGGCTTATTGCCAACATTGGCTTGCTATTTTTACAAGCCACTGTTCAAGTTTCCAGCTTCTTAAACACATAAGGAGGCTGTTTTTATAATGGTTAAATGGGATGAAGGAAGACTGCATGCTGTCCAGTGACCTTTGCTCTCACACTGGACACTGAGGTTAATATCTCTTCTTGTGTTTAGCACAGACATTGAGAGTTTTATCGGTTTCTAAAACCGTGTCAGGTATGCTAGATTTTACGACACCAAGCTTTCAATAGCGTTAATGCCTTTGACGTGTATAGCGCCGTGTTCGTTTTAAATATTGCCAAAAAATTATGAGGTTGCTTTCTGATCTTTTTGACACGTATGTTAGCGGATAATATTTTAACACGGGATGTGTTTTATCAGCCGATTTTCATGGAGTTGTGTAACGTTTGGCTCTAACTCCTGGCTGTAGCGGCAGGCTCTAACAGGCGGCTGTAACGAGAAACTGACACTGAAAAGCGTTACGTCCGTTGGGAACCATATAAAAAGACTTCAGTCCCCTGCAGGATTGAACACCCCACCTTGAGATTGTGAGCTGAATACTTTGCCGACAAAGCTATCTAGGGTCGGTGGCTGCTTGCCCGAAAAAGTGAACACATTGGCACGGCACTTTGCGGCCTTTGCTGTCATGCTGCGCCATCTCACGGCGTGTGTCAAAAATGGGAGCAAATCTGAAGCTGTATATATATTTTTTTTATTATTATTCAGAATTCTGGAACTTGGAGAATTATAATTAACTTTAATAATATCCGAATTCTGGAGAACTGGAAATTTAACAAAATTAAATTCTAATTAAACTTTAATAATTGCCGAATTCTGGAGAACTGAAAATTTAACAAAATCAAAGTCTGATGAATGCCAAAATAAACTCTCGAGAACACCCTCTGAATTTCACCAAAAAAGAATTACCCTACCTAGTACGGCTGGCCAAAATGCTTTGTCATGCAGCATGCAAAGTCAACTGTAATCATCAGTAGATTGTTGGGCTAGTTGGTTTTGGAACTTGGAATGCATTTTAGCGTTTAAAAGCAAGGACACAAAGACGAGAATCAGACACCACAGTGCGCTACTACTTGACAAGGACTGTGCCTTCCTCAATGACGCAGCCTGGCATCGGGTTGGCTAGTGATGGGGCGATATGAGAAACACGGATGGTATATAAGTGACGTTTCATGTAATAAAATCAGTTGTTTGTAGCGCACTGTGGTGTCTGATTCTCGTCTTTCTGTCCTTGTTTTTGAGCGCTAAAATGTATTCCATGTAAACATCATTTTCAACATATAGTCTCTAGCCTGTGTGTAGGGTTACATGTTTTCGGGGTTTCTTTTTTCTTCATTTTCAGAGGCTTTTCTCTCCGAGTTTATTTTTTGCCTCAGATTCTGTTTTCCGGTGTTGATTTTGGATGCTGGGCAAAGGTTGGTGTTTATCTGGATTTATGTTGAAAAATAAAGGACACGGGCATATGATTCCCCAACCTCTGGGGAACACGTGCATAGCCACTTGGAAAATGTTCCAGTACAGGTAAGAGAATGAATTGGGACAATGGGCGTTGTTCCTGAAGAAAGGAGCATCCTCATGGACAATTCGGTGGGGGCCATGTTCCTGACCAGCACAAAAGAAAGCTGTGGCTGAAGATTTCTTTTCTTCAAACATTTCTTCTTCAACGACAGAGGCAACTCGGGCATTTTCGGTTTTCCCTGATTTTGATCAAATGGGCTCGGGGATACATTCTCTAGGTTTAACGGTATTTACAGAAAACACAGAACCCTGCTTATATGCCAGCAAATCATATAGTTACGTAGTTGTCTAACATCTCGAACCTGGGACTGTCGCGCAAACGGTGGACAAATGCAAAATGTGTGTTGTTACATCTTCGTTGGCTCACCTGCGTACCATTTTATTAATTTATCGAAAGGAGGGCGTGAGAAGTCCAGTCTTATTTTGAAAGTGTGTGTTTGGCCCGCCTCTCCGGTTCCAGCAACAACATTCCGGCAGGCTTTGAGTTCCGCATGGAAGTGTACAGTCATGTCCTGCAAGACGACCTGAGCATGGCCAGCACCCCGAGGAAGATCAAGACCAAGATCACCAACTCGGTCAGCAAGGCCATCGGGAAGAAGTTGGCTTCGTCATTGGTGCGTTCCCCTGCCTTCCCTCGTACTGTTGTGAGGAGCTGGATTGATTTGCATTTACTTACCAGAGTTCCCTTTTTTCTTTTCCTTCTTCGGGAATGCTGGCAGAGGGAAGAACTCAACTCCTGGGAAATGTGAGTATTTTCTCCACTTGCTTCAAATGGCTGAAACTTGAGACGGCCTATACTTCGTTTCACTATAACTTGGCAAAGAGCGAATGCTACGGCCCCTTGGGCCAATCGGAGCGACGGAGACAAAGCCACGTGACAGCCCTTACCAAAGGTCCAGGGGCGTAACCCAAGCGGTTAGAGAAGAGGGGAAGGAGGAACTTTACTCTTACCCAAACCCTTTTCTGTGTGTTCCAGGCGTTGCTCTTGTCTTGGAGATAGCTGTCACTCAAAATTCACACAAATGACCTTCCTCTCTCTCGCGTCTGTGGCTTCAACAGCACTGCGCACAACTAGTGAGCTAGGGCACAGGTTCTCAAACTGGGTTCCTAGGGATGTGAGTTGCCCACGTTCCCCGTCATGGATTCTCCGAGCCCGCAAATTTCCTCAACTGTCTTTGCCCATAATTAAACCGTTTTCCCAGTCAGTATTTTAGCAGATCTGAGCCACTCTGGTGTCTAATTATCAGCCAAATAGTTTCTTGTATGTGCATTACTGACAAGGTCTGTAGGCTTCAGCACTGCTTTATTGAATCAGTGCCAAGACGAGGAGGGGTTCTTCGGCTCTCAGTCTTGGCAAATGGGAACTCCTCGAGATCCTCCAAATTATTTTAAATTTTTTTGCCAGGCAATTTATTATGGTGTCCAAAGACTACCGAATCAGTATTTTGCTACAATGTGACATATATTTTTAATAAAATCAAAATATGCAACTGCTCGAAACCGGTACCGAAAGAGGACTGGGTAGGAAGAAGAAATATAGAGGTGGAGAGAGTTACCAGAAGTCACGTGGCTGTGCAACTTTTTCTTTTTTTCAATCAACGTATTTGCAGCTTATTTGAAGCCACAAAAGATTAGTATTTTTTTGTCTACGTATTTTTAGTATTGAGTGTGTGCCTTTGATGGTTCATGACTTTGATTATATTTCGTGGTTGTGTCTAAACCATAGAAAATGGCACGTGACCACGGAGAAGAGAGTGAGCACGATTCAAACCGGCCAGTTCTTGATTGGCGGTCTTCGGGTGGAAAAAAAATGAATTTTAAGCCGCAAATTTTTTTTTGGGTAGTTGGGTTTTCATTTGTCATGTACAAATAAAAACCTTGGCCACCATAAATACACTGTCAGTGTCCCTTTAAGTCCCAAGATAGGTTATATAGTTGCAAGTCTCCCTCCGACGCGCTGATTGGTTCACTGGGACCGTAGCCTTTGTCGTCTGCCAAGTTACAGTGAGACAGAGTATAAAACCCGAGTGTGCCTGGAATGCCTACAAATATGCACTCTTGAGTGCCCATTTTAGCACCCAGAATAATTGCGGGCTTTAAAGTCTGAGCACATGCTGTACTTGCACAATTCTGACGTTCTGGTGCGTTTGACTCGCGAATATCTGACGACTGACTTGCTGGCAGTCCTACCGTGCAGGTAAAATAATGATAGCTGACCACCACATAGTTCGTAGGACTCTGCTCACTGAGCGTGCATATTCACAAAGTCGTGGGAGTCTCCCAAAAGCTTGTCACCATCCATAGACTAGAATGTCCGAAGCATGTGACACAATACAGTTTACTTTTTATTTGGTCGGAAAGTCTTAAGTCGACTCTCATTAACTCTCTTAATTCAAACTTGTGGATAATTCAAACTAACATGCAGGGCCCATCCTATGCGTCTCTATGGGAGGAAACTCCTGGTAATTCAAAGTTTGCTTTATTCAAAGAAATTTTCAGTCCCCCTTGAGTTTGAATTAACGAGATTTGACTGTAATAAAATAACTTCTTTTTCCAACTTGCGAGCAAAGAATGGCAGGGGAAGGTCTTTGAGTTGTCTTACCTCTATCGTGAGCTTCTTACTTTCGCAAACAGATGGGTATCTAAAGAGCTACAATTAAACCCGTTTATAACGAACAGCAGGAAACGCTATGATCAGTTCGATATAGCAAGCAGTTCGATATAGCAAAAAAACATTTACAACGAACTTCCACGATGAGTTCGTTGTAAGGAGAGAGCTTCTCTTTCTTTCTCATCTCTTCACTTCCGCCTTGTAACAGCACGCTAAAAAGTTGTTTTTTTTGTGCAGTTTATTTTTTCTTAGCTTATCTCTCCTTCTGAATCGCTTCTCCTTGTGGGAAAACGCTTTGAGGTGAAAAAGATTTTTTTTTGCCTGTGTGCAGAGTGTAGTTTTTAGCTTTCCCCCCCCTTTTCTGAACCATTTCTCTTCGCTCAACTTTGTTCGCAACTTGAGCTTTTTGAATTTTCTTTCTTTTCTACTTCTTTTCTTGGGGAAGGGACAGGCTACAAGGCGATTTCTTGTGCATTTTTGGAAGCCTTCCCGGGGGAAAGAGTTTGATATAGCCAATATGTTGTTCGTCATAAAACATACTTTTTACATCCATTTTTACTTAAATTTTCCGTGAGTTCAATATCGAAAATAATTCGCTGTACGTGGGTTCGTTCTAGATGGGTTTCACTGTATGAGCATACACATGTGAACAAAGCACAATGGAAGGCAAAGAGCATATACCGGATGTCAGCCATTCGAAAGAATACCACAAGTTTTCAAGACCAACACAAAGAACATGCTGATCGGGTTGAGCGACGGGCAGTCGATGTGAAAACAGTAAAGGTTAACAGAAAAACATGCGACGAATGGATGGCAGTAGCTAAACTTACAGTTCTTGTATAGGCTCCCTACGGAAGCCAGAGTTGCGCATCTGTTTTCCACTTGCCGCCGCGCAGTTATTCGTCGAGATCTGATCACGTGAGGAGCAGACTCAAATGCCGTGCAGGAAAGTAGACGTTGCGCGTGCCCCGGTTTACGTTCCCCTGCTTTTGAGCGCGTCGCGTGCCTCGAACGTACGGCGCCGCTACTCGCCGAATTCAGTCACGTGAGGAGCAGGCTCTACATGCCGTGCAGAAAAGACGGTGGTATGGGGATGAACGCGCAACTCTGGCTCCCGTAGGGAACCTACACAGGAACTCTAGCTGAACTATGGCGTACTAGAAATATGGACTAGTGTTGGGACCAGTGCGGCTTGGCAGTGGGAGCTTGTGATTGGCGGTGCACATAGACAACACACGCGGAGATGTGATCGATGTATTGTGAGTAGCCCGGCAAGTTTTGCAGAAAGTTTGTTGTGAGTTCTCAACGCTGTTGTTGCTGTTCTGTGTTCTGACAATGCAGAACGGACGTCGCTGTATCGCTCGTGGCGAACTGCCCTCAGTTTTATGGGGCTGTATGTTCCCTCAGAATATATTTTGATTGTGTTGTGTTGTGCAAGTTCTGCAGATGGTCAATGCAGAAGTGTAGCGTCGAAATGGCACCGGTAAAATGCCGACAGACTTGGTGCTGTGTGCCTGGCTGCCAAATGAACTACAGACAGATGAAGAGCGAGAAGGCAGCGTCTCTTTTCGGCGTTCCAAACGATAGTGCCACGAGAGAGGTAGGGAAAAGAATTTTCAATCTTTGGGCAACTCTCTCGAATAAACAAGTGGTCTCCGTGCACGTGCACACCTTACCGGTAAAGTGACAGTGCGATTCCTCTTGCCATTTACACCATGAGCCTCACGCCAGCTGCTCCGTTCCCAACACTACTTCTTGTTCTAGTACGCTGTAGCTGAAGCCCTAGCATTGGGCAGTAGCAATTGTGCCACCTAGCACATAGACACAACTCCAAAGCGTATTGTGTCTGTGTGCAATGGGGCTGTCCTCCTTACACCAAGTTTTCTAGGCTTTCTTTCAATTTTGATTTTTGGATCCGATTGTAATGTGCACGTAATTACAAGCGCGTCATTTAGAAAAAGAAAAAAAAAAAAAAAAAGAAGTGCTCTTGTGCAAATCAGGTACCTGGTTTCAGGCTGGGGCATGAGTGGTGAGAAGTTGAGAATGAAGGTGCCCTCTGCAACAGTAAGCTTTCACACTCACATTAATGTGAAAAACTGCAGTTTCGCAAGTGCAAGCATTTATATTTAAAGCGAGTGCTATCCGGGCCTATCGAAGCGCACTTACATAAGTTCGGGTCGTTTTTTTCATACTTACGTGAGCTCCGGATTGAATGCGCGGCAGTTGTGGGCACGTAGGGGTTTAATGGCTCGGTTGGGTGGAGCCCGACTGCGAAAGGGGGGGCACTTTGGTCAGTGACTGTGGTGTGGTCTCGCACAGTGGCCCCAAGTTTGTGCTGGAAGCGCACGCCACCCTGGGGTTGGCGGATGCAGACGATCGGGTGCGCACCCACGACCTGGTGGTGGAGAACGTCGAGAACCCCCAGCAGCAGCTGCCCCTTTTCGGTCACCTGGGCTGCAAACTGGCAGTCGTGCCGGACTGCGTACACGAGGAGCGACTCTCGGGCTACCTCAGCGTCGTGCAGGTACCATTTGGCAACGCAGTGAAGCACAAATATAAAGCTAGGGAATGTCCGACTTTCTACACCCTATGATAGAGCAGCACCTCTGCACAGCTCTTGTCAGTTCTAGAAAATGTCTCTTTGGAGCCGACATCGTGTGGCAAAGACCCTATAATGAAGACAAGCCAGCTCTGTTTGAGTAAAGGTTTTCGTTGGTTTTCTTTTTGGGAGGTCGTACATTACTCAATGTTTTGCCATCACAAGCTAGTTTGAGACACTGTTAAAATTAAGAAGAATTAAGAAAAGAAATAAAAGATGGAGTTTTTAAAAAACATAGTACGTGCAATTTTGCCACATCTAGAGAAATCAACTGCGTTTCTGCATTAATAATACAACTACAATGATGGCAAAGCATACCTTTCTTTTTATAAATTCGTAAAATGTATTTAAATATGCACAGTTCTAGAGACGTTTTCTGTTTCCAGTCGTTCTCAGTCATGTGGATATTGTATCTGGTATGCGAGACGAAAAAATGATGAAACAGTTCAACCTGAAATATGCGAGATAATATAGATGAGGGAAAACAAGAATTAGTTGCAATCACATTTTTCGTAAACACTTTCCAGTGGTGTGGAGAGATCAAAACAATGTTTTACCGCATACGAGAAGTGACGACATTCAAGATGGCTGCACCCTTGTGGAAAAGGTGTATACATTTTGCGCCATTTGTTATGAAGCAGCTTGTTGGTAAATAATTTGTGAATGTGTCTCTGAAACGTATTTACTTGACGTGTTTCATAGCTTTCTTTGCAGAGAGACCTTTGTTTGTAATTTTTCATATTCTGCGTACATGTTATAAGCCTTTCATAAAATAATAAAATGAAATAAGTAGGAAAAATTATTGCTACATGCGTGCTTTGGTGTGAAATTAACAACTGAGCAAAGTGCCATAATGAAACTTTGGCAATCTCGATGCTTGGAGCTTTGAAATTGCATATCTCTAGGAGAAAATTAGCTAAAGCATTCATATATAGCTGAATGCTCTTCCCAAGAACGTGGCTATCACATATACTTTTTTACATAAATATGAAAATATGACTGGATCATCATCTGACGTGGAAACAGCTGGTACGCGAGTGAATTACGGGCGGGGGACCATTGCACATCCCCGTCCGTGTTTGCTCAGCCATGCCCGCTCGTTTGTCTCGCAGACTCCGAGCGGTGCGGGCAGTTGCGGGCGACTCTGGTGCATCCTCAAGAACTTCCAGCTCTGCCTCTGGAGAAGTGAAGAGGATTCAAGGCATCTACCTCCCATGCTGAGCATACCCATCACTAAGGTAGTGGCCGATGTTTCTTTCTCCGTCCCCTCACTTGCCCGGTTGGTCCTCGTCTACTGCTTCGAGAGTCGTGAAGTCACCCCATACTTTGTTCACTCCTAAACTGTTAATGCGGGGCGAGCTTCGTGCTTGTCAGACCAGCCGTACATTGACCTTTCACCACGTGATCGCGCTTCCGTCCGCCCCCAAGCACATAGAACGGGGTCAGGTGATGAAAGGGAGGCGGTCGATCGGTCCATTGAGCACGTAGCTCCCGCTGTGCCGTGAGCTTAGGGGTGAACTGGAATAGAACTGTGCAACTGCCACTCCTCCTTGCTTAGCTCTTGCTCGTTACACTTAGTTGGGCAGGCTGCCGACCGACGGGGAAAACATGGCGGAGGCTCCAAATTACCGATGAATCTCGGAGAGTCTGAAATGCTCGTGCAACTGTCGGAGGATTCGGGAACAAAACGTAACGAGACATGGAGGGAGGGTGGCAATACGTCTTACTTTGGTCAAATAGTTTCCTTGCCATACGATGAAAGGACCTAAAAGTAGCACGTTTTGGCTTAACAACTGGGAGTGCCACGTCGATTGAGTATTGTTTGAAAGGCAGTAGGAGGCTTTTGTTCAAAAGCCTCCTACTGTATTTGTATTTTTGTACAAGTTTTGTACAAAAACCGAGAAAGCTCAACCTGTGAAAATTTATAAAAAAAAAATGGAGCTTCTTCTTTTTTTTTTTCTTTTTGCGGAAGGGAGGATATGGGTGTACCTTCATACTTTGAGGTGGCACCTTTGTGATAAGTCAATTAACAATTAAACCCCAAGGGATAATTTCTCGCCTGAACTCGGCCGGTGTTATCACTCTGTCGCTCGACAATATCAAACACAATGTTATTCGAAGCTGAGATAAATATAAAAATACAGCACTTGCAGGAATCACAAAAACTGCAAAGATGAGTTGTGATGGATGACTCGGATTGAGCGTTTCCTATATAACTCGATAAGGGCACTCCCCTCTTGAACAGTCCTCGAGAAATAAAAAAATATACCCAGCTGTTTAATTCTTTTAGTTACTCGCAATGAAGATTTCGTGTAGGATATTTTGAAGTTGAGGTAAAATATATTCAGAGCTGTCAATATATCAGTGCAGTTGTTTAAAGAAAAACTAAAGTAATTCTGTAATGAAAAAAAAAAAAAACAACTAAAACTTGAATTGTTTCATTATGACTCCCGGGACCATGAATACCGTATTTACTCGAGTAATAGCCACACTATTTATGAACAAGGCCCTTGCGTCTACTTTCCCACAGAACACATAAACAGCCAATCATCGCGTTGCGCATAAATAAGATAGCGAATAACCAAATCGAGATTGCGATTCTGCATACAAATGCAATCTTCACAAATGGTATCTTCGAGCAAAGACGTTATCTCTGTCCTGTACAAAGCTGGAATCATGCTGTCGATTGCGGTGATTGGCAATCTGTGTGCTTCGCGGAAAAGCAAACCCTCAGGTTTTTTTTTATAAAGAGTGTGACTATTACTCGAGTAAATACGGTATCGAATTGATTTTTAAATTTGTAACACTGTTGTAACAGTGCTTTGAAAATAGCGCGGAAGCCCCACCCTCTCGGCGAAGAGGGAGAGGGGAAGCAGTTGTGAGAGGAGAATGTGACGTCGCACTGGGAGCACCCATCGCCGTGCCAGCTGCACTGGCTTGCCCTTCTCCACTGATTGTGAATCTAATGTGAGATTAGTTTATTTGAACTAAATTTGTTATCATCGGCGGCTCTAGTCAATCAACGGAAAGCCCAACATAGCCTTCCAGTCCAGTCGTAGAAGAATGGCGACTTGCACAAACCAGCGTCTGAGCTGAGACTGGGTGAAAGAAAGCTCTGCCAAGTCTGGGAGTGCTCTTCATAAACCTGATGCAAATCAGAAGCGCTCAAGAAAGGTTAATGACGCGAATAAATCAGCCGCGATGACGCCCGCATAAAATGGGTCACGCGAATTAATTGGCCGTGAATTGTACGCGGATTTATTCGTGCGATAAATTTTTCACGACCCATAGAAGTGAATGCATGCAATGGCTTCATAGCCAATATTTTTCCCAACAAAAAAAGTACAATGAGCACACAATTGTAAAACATTTCAGACTCACCTACCCATCACCAGGGAGTAAAAAGTGGTGCTCGCACGGTGCTGCCGTGCGAGTGCCATATGTTGCTGAATGAAATCACAGTACCACTCCCATTTCATTAAACGGAGCCTCACATTCTCAATTCTCGCTCTCACAAGTTCTAACTCAACATAGAAAGACAGGGATACGCAGTCCGTGTTCCGACATGGGCCAAAAATGCAGCGCCGTTTGCCTGGGGCTCGGAGCCTTGCTGTTCCCCTGGACTCCCAGTCGCCCCATGGACGTGTTTGTGAGGCTCGGCAAGGGGCTGAAACACGTATGGGGTCACGAAAGGAGTCTTTTTTTGTCTGTTGGCCCTCGGAGCTTGTCATTCTGGCGGACAAAAAGGCCTGAACCAGCCACCTAAGCCGAGCATGCGTGTGCCCAGCGATACGAGATGACCGCAGAGAGCTCCTAGTGTGACGTCATGACCGATTCCGCCAATTGCAAAATGGAATGGCGATTCGCGCTTGTTTTTTATTTTTTGTTTTTATGCATTTAGGGACACTTTTGAGCCAAATTGTTGTCCTATTCGGTATCAGGGGATAAAACTACACTAGAATCAACCTCTATTTCATTTTTTAAAAGAAGTGTTTCAGCTTCCCTTTAATAAGTCATATAAGAATTTTATTTTTGGAACGTGTGCTTTTGCTTTAGTAAGCTAATGACAAAACTAGTACACAATTCGGAAACGGAATGCTGTCACTGGAATGTTTTGCGAATGAAGCACAAAATTTTACTGGACGTTTTCTAGTAAGTTCTTTAGGAGTAGTACACTGAGTTCTGGGAGTATCCTTAGGATGTCCTTAGAATGTCCTAAAGTTCTGGGATGTCCTCTGAATGTCCACAGGACATTCCCAGAACATGAGGACATCCTAAAGACACCACAGAACTAAGTGTTCTACTAGGGGTTTATGTTGGTTTATGGATTATATCCAGTATCGCTCAAAGGGTAAACTTATATACCAGTGCCCAAAGGAGTCCATTACATTTTCTGTAAGAAATTTCTGCTTTTTTTTTATGAAAAAAAGGAGATGGGCCATAGTTAAATTTTGTTGGAAGGCTGTCATTCAACAACAAAGGGCCGCAACTTCCGTAGTTTCTCCCCAGCAAGACGTCACTTTTTATAGTGTCATTCAAATAAAAAAAAAAAAACCGAGGGCAGTTGTTTTCTCATTTCACAGCTTTGAAATTCGTGACTCTCCGGGAAAGAAGGTATAGTCAATGCGCTCTTTGGCATTTTAAGTTTCTCCGTGCGTGGCCTTCACTTGATCGTACATGACTCCACTTGTCTACGCCCCGTGTGGAGCATGGGGGAACAGGCGCACTTGTCTGAATCCGCCTGCTCTGTCTTGTGCCCGGCCAGGACACGCGGCTACGGCCAGAGGAAGGTGCGTCCAAGCAGGCACTGCGGATACTTACGAACGCGTCGGAGAAGGGGCACCTTCTGATGGCCGACTCCGAGCCGGAGCACACCAAGTGGCTGGCCCACCTCTGGCAGCACGTCAAGGACCACGGTAAGGGCGGAGCATCCTCTCAACTTTGGACCAGACTCATTTTTGCTATGCTGCATAGAAGCCGTTTCCGGTCCCCAAGTGACAACAAATGACGTCGCAAAACCCGGAGCGTCATGCTGTCGGATGTCTGAATTGTGGTGGTTGGTCATATACAGTCGAACCCGTTCATAACAAACTCCGTCAGACACGCATTTTAGCTCGACATATCCCGTAATTTGCTATATGAAAACCGGGTCTACCGCAAATTTTGAGGCCAAGGCTTCGTAATTAACAAATATTTCTTTTTACACCACGGTAAACGCACGTTAATGCATTCTTCAGCGGGCCGCGAAAAATGTTTATGACCCGTGGAAATGTAACCAACAACGTTTTAGGCGGGCTAACAGCTGGAACAAAAAGGAGCTTTCAAACTGTTTATTCTGCGAGGACGTTTACGGAATCGGAGCACCCAGGCGCGCACAAAAAGAAAAATCTTTTACCATTTTAGCTGACCGCGCAGCCTTTTCGTCTGGGCTGCGGTTGTCGTTTCCTGCACGAACCGGATTAGCACGCGAAAGTCAAATGAAAAAGAGAGCTTACAAATGAAACATAGAAAGCGGTGACTAGTAAGCAGCGGGCAGTCTTTGAAATTTCGCAATGGGAGAGCACCCCCCTTTTCCCCTTCCAGATAATTCGGACTGTTAAAAAAAACAATACTGGGAAAGAGGGCGTGGTCGAACTTGTTTTAATCTGAAATTATTTATGCATATACAGTGTAGACGGCATATAACGTATGTCGCGGGAGTCGCGAAAATCCGCACTATAAGCAGTACCGCGCTATAACGAAAACATCAATTTTTCAGGCCAAAATACATGCCATGAGACAACTTACCTTTGTAAAACAATTTATTTTATGTTAGATGAAAAATAAAGCTTAGTTTGAGGAAAGCCTTTGTTTCACCAGACTAGTACACTTCTCTCTCAAGTGTGTCACACATTTTGAAAGAAATGAGCGACTTTTGCCTGGCGCAGCCTTTTAACGGCGTCGCAGGTTGCGGACGGACGTTGCGAGCGTTCAGGATTGCTAACCCTAATCACTTTTCTCCGGTGATGAAAACGCGTGAAAATTTGCTTCCTTTATACAGTACGCGCCAGTAATACTTTCAACTTGAGCACAGGCATGAAATGCTCCAAATAAGAAATTCGGGCAATGTTCGAAAACACAAATGCTTAAACATTTCGACAAAAATCCCGAGACTGGGACAAAAAGGGACGGACAAACACAAAGTGTTTGTCCGTCCCCTTTTTGTCCCAGTCTCGGGGTTTTTGTCGAAATGTTTAACCACCACCAGCTCGTTTGCGCCCTTACCTTTTGTTCACAAATGCTTAGAAAGCACCACTGTAGTAAAAGTAAACATACACAACGGCACGGGCGTTTCTGCCGTCTTGAGAGTGCCGCCACGACATCGCCTCATGAATAGGTGGATCTTCCCTTCTAGTACGTGCTGGGTTATCATAGCGACACACAGCGAAAATTCACAGTCAAGGATAGCGCTTTTACGCGGAACAATGAGCTTCCACCACCCGTCTACGACGACGATCACAACCGACGCCATGTTTGCGGATAAAAGAAGCTGGCACGCGACCGGCATGCAACGCGCGCGAACACTTCTCCTCGACTTGCGATTGGTTTGTCGTTGCGGTTGTTTCCAACGCAGCGGAGGGACGCACGCACGTGAACGACACGTGCGTGCGTCCCTCCGTCGCTATGGCAATTGAAGCCTCTCTCATCGCTTCTCCCCGCTTTTTCGAGCTACCTCCTTGCCCTGCGAGTGCCGCTTGCGGCTAGCGCCGTTATCTAGTGTCGCACAGGGAAGCGTGCTCGCTGCGCCGGTTGGTTGGCGCGGTCGGCGGGCTGTTCCAGAAACTGCACTATAACCAGTATTTCCCTTCGCGCGCCTGCATTTTAAGCGGTATGTAATTACATGAAGTTCTATGGGAGGCGAACCGGTGGTTTAAAAAAGCCGCGTTATACCTGGTCCTGCACTATAAGTGGTTACGTTGTAAGTGGTCTATACTGTATTGCTACTGTCGCTCTTCACTGCATAAAAGATTGCGTAGATGGTCATTGTCGGAAACTCGTTAGAAGGCACTACTTGTCACATGCTTAGTGGTTCCGAAGTTCGAAGCTATGTCTTTTCGACCTAAATAACTGTGCCATTGATCAAAACACAACAAAAAAACATAACAATAAATGAAAGGATAAAAAGCTGGAGAAAAAAAAAAACTATCAAGAATTCGCTGGAAGTGTTGTATTCTAGCATATTCAGAGGCTTAAAACTTCAAAACAAGTTTCTCCTACCAAAATGTGTACAGGCTAAAAAAAATACGTCCTAAAAAAGCGAAGAAAAAAAAAAGTTTCTTTTTTAATGACGTGCTGAACTTGAACAATATTAGAAATCTTCTCCCATGAGTTAATTTATTCCTTAATGTGAAAAAACAATCAATACATTATTTTGTATTCTGCCGATGGCAATGATATGTACTGCCTGTAGTGTTAATCTCAATGCAATACCTCAAACAACTTGGACGGAAAAAAAAAAAATACCAAGTTTAAGGCATAATTGCCCGTAGATACATGTTTGGACATTTCTTCGAAACTCATCTTGAATAACAATAATCACATCTTAAGACGACACTAGCCTAGGCTATACATAGATCATTCTTAAAAAGTTTATCATCTCCCATAATAGCTTCGGCTATAGCGCGCTTCAAATATGGCACAAACGACAATTGTCAAAAACCCGTCGTCCTTCCTCGCTCCTTCGGGAATCTATTTTTCTAAAACCAAGCATGCCAGATGATTGAAATAAACAGCATTGTCTTTCGCAAGGAACGCGGCACCGCATGTAAAAATTTGAGAAAAAAAATTACAAACGTACCTCACTACTTGAGTTCAAATGAAACCGTCCGCCGGTCTTTCGAAGTTTGACGAACGTCGAACTTTTACCCTAAAAGTTCGAAGTTCGTCGAACTTTTGACTTTTGACTGCAAACACCCGCGCGCTTACACGTGCGTCTGGCCGAAACCTCCACACAGCATAAGTGACAAAACACGCAAATAATAAAAAAAATGAAAAAACAAACGGAAAAGCATGACGCATAAAAAAATCATAAAAAGTTAAGCAAACAGTAAAGAACAAAAGCTCACTAAATTCAGGCAGCAAAAAAAGAAAGGCAAGAAAAAAAGAAAAGAAGAAAAAAACGGGCAAAGCAATAACGGCAGAAGAAAAAGGTAAACAAAATAAGGCGTTTAAAGTGTGATTGCACCCGTTATTGTTGACACACTTGACTTGCAGAGAACTTTTTTTTTTTTTTGCTCATTTTATTTTGGGGTTAGGGAGTTGCACAGCATCAGCAGTGTTCAGGGAAAGGGCGCAGGCCACCATTCCAACAGCGGGCACTCCCTGCTCTCCCTACGTGCCCTTGCTTTTGCCATCGTCCACTTTTTTCTTTTTTTTACGGTTCTTTGTTTCTTTTTTTCCACTGCTGCTCTTTCGCTGCGTATCTTACCGAGTGCATGCTGGCTTGGCGTTCTGCCAGCCCTGCAATGCAAGTGATGTGCTCTCCACCAGCGCTATTGGATCGCGGGAAGAGCAATGGGCGGCCAGGCTTCATTCGCTAGATCGAGTGTCCCCCACCATGGGAGTTCAATACAGAAAGACAACACTCCTATAGCATCACATGTGATTTTCAAGGGGATGTTTGGACTATTTAATATAAAAAATATTTCGAAGTACCCGAGTTTGATATAACCGGGCTCGACCGTATCAGGCGGAAGTTGGATGAAAATTTAAAATTTCGGTTCAAATCATTCCTTCGGACTCATCAAGTATCCAAACTTCTGCGCGATCCCTGTCGAGTTCAAGAAATCGGTCGGCACCGTATTTGCGAAGGAGCTGCTTCGCGAATAAAATAGAAGGAAACACCGAATACCTTAGTCGACGGAAGTCTCTGTGCCCACCTTTTTCTGCCAATTCGCCAAAACCATCTTCTCCTCACGCTTACCGCCGTTTGTTTGGCACCTAATGTCGACAACTAAAAACCTAGGAGGGTGTGTGCCCGCTTCACGTGACCCCTCCTACGTGCTCTTTTCCCCACGTGTCACAGAGCTCTGGGGGGACCTGGCGTCCAAGCGGATGGAAATCCCGTCCCCTGGGCCGCGGCGGGCCCCCACCTTCGGGCGGCAGACCTCGCTGTATGACGAGACGTCCCTCAGAGGTGAGACTCTTGCAATGCTTTGGGAGCTCACAAAGTTTGCTTCTTGCTTTTTCCTTATTTCCCTTGGTGTTTGCTATTGCTCTGGATAAACCCATCACATTCATAAAGCCAGGAATGGAAATAGGTTTTTCGTGGCGTGTGTTCATTCTTGCAACAAAAAATTGGCTGCAGAAACCACTATTGTTGGTTGGCTTTGAAGTGCGATGGCATTTGTCACGATACTCACAACGCACCTCACTTTGAATGCGACGACGCAGGTGTTGAGTAAACACCTTATTTTATTAATGGTTTGCGGTGATGCAATCATGGACATCAGCGTGACTGCAGTGCGCCACTTCAAAATTGAATGATTGCTTCATCTCTGTGTAATCGTTTAATCTTCTGTCTTTGTATAATTGTTCAAATGTTCAAGCTGTTTCATCACCATCATTGACCATATACGAACTAGCTCAAATCAAACTGATAATTGCTTCGTAGCTTGGGCTCAAATGTGAATGCGTTCGTACTGGCGCACCGTGTATGCACGACACGGGTTTATATGCTTGTGCCGCAGCCATGAGTGATTGCTTCATTGCTTGGGTGCAAATGTGAATGTGTGCCTACTGCCGCTCCATGTATGTGCAACGTAAGTTTATCTGCTTGCTAGGACGACATCCTAGAGGACGTCTAGGATTACCTCTAGGAAGACCTTAAGGACGACGTCAAAGATGACAACTAGAAAGACCTCTGGGGCGATTTGAAGGGCGATGTCTAGAATGACGTCCTAGAGGATGACATCGAAAGACGACATCTAGAACGACCTCTAGGGCGATCTCAAGGACAACCTCTAGGATGACCTCAAGAATTACGTCTAGGACGATGTCCTAGAAGACAATGTCAGAGATGACGTCCTGCATATGCAGAGGCACCGCTCCACCGTGCGGCGCATATGCACAACACATTTGAGGCCAGATACCATATTGTGAAAACCGGGTGAAGTAGCAAAAGAATACCATCGCATATTAAAGAGTGCCTCGGGATTTTGTAATAATATGCCAGTCGAAGATACATTGCAGGCACCATAGCAATATCATCCCTCCTCTCCATTGTGGCAGGGTCATCTTCTCTTCTCGGTTCCACCATTGTTGTGTTATCTGCTTACGCTTGGCATAGCATGATGTGGTTCTTAGTTGCCTGTTTGCAAACTAAATTGGCTATGTTTTGTTTTCTTCTGATAATTGCTACTTCCAGTTCATGTACTGTGCTCCCAAACTTAGCACTGCCACTTGGTTTCCCAAAAGTTTATGCACAACACATTTGAGGCCAGATACCATATTGTGAAAACCGGGTGAAGTAGCAAAAGAATACCATCGCATATTAAAGAGTGCCTCGGGATTTTGTAATAATATGCCAGTCGAAGATACATTGCAGGCACCATAGCAATATCATCCCTCCTCTCCATTGTGGCAGGGTCATCTTCTCTTCTCGGTTCCACCATTGTTGTGTTATCTGCTTACGCTTGGCATAGCATGATGTGGTTCTTAGTTGCCTGTTTGCAAACTAAATTGGCTATGTTTTTTTTCTTCTGATAATTGCTACTTCCAGTTCATGTACTGTGCTCCCAAACTTAACACTGCCACTTGGTTTCCCAAAAGTTTAACTGTTGCAGGTTGTTCAGAAAGGATTTGGACACTGAACCGGCTGGGATGCCTTCCTGAGGCTGTGTGGTGACCGAGGATTTGAAGTATCACCGGGTGGTTCGATTGGTACTGTTTGGATGAGTGCTGGAATTTCTTGAAACATGCCATCTTGTGGCAGCATTAAGTTTGAGGGGCACAGTACCTTTGCACAAGCTTACTAGTGCATCTAGTTGGGAATTTATGGGTTAATGGCAGTCATTATTTGCATTCCTCGGGCTCTTACGTATGTGTATGCGAGTGAATCACACTTGAGAACATTGTAGACCAAAATCAGCGTTACTGCAGTTGTGAAGCATATACACATTCTAAATCAGTCTGGCTTATATGGTTTAAATAGCATGGTCTGGCTGACAACAGCCAGTCAGCAAGTGCATGTAGTGATTTGGAGGAGCTTTTTTTTATATTCATTTTTGCCCGTCAGTCAAGCCAAGCACTAACACTTTCCTTTTGTTGATGCTGGCTGTCACACAAAGCTAAATAGACCAAACCATGGCAGAATAGTTGGCCAAACCATGGCCAACTATTCTCTATTTGAGAGCTTCAAAGTTCATTTGCATGCACCTAGGTAGTTTTCTTCATTTACCTCTTTGTCATTGTCATCGTCCAACACTCCCTCTCCCACCCAGTGGATGGGGTCCGCCATCAATTCTGCTGATCCGGAAGGAGTCCCCATAACATGGGTAGTTGAGAACCACTGGCATAGCACATAAATGTGCTGGCACTCTCAGTTTTGAAAAGCAGGTGCTTCGAAGCAGTGTTCACTTTATATTCAGCAAATTTATCAAAAATATATGCACGGTGTTCTGGTACCCCAGCATGTAGCTCGCTTGCACTCATGGCGCAAGAACGGCGGCGCGAAATTCGGATGAGCCGTCGCACAGTTTCATGCGTTTAAATTATCAGGAGATTTCTCCCATTCTAATACATAGGACTTTGACAGAACCCACGAGTTAGTTGTAATTATCCGCAAGTTCCAAGAGTCTGAATTATCGGGATTGTACTCTAGAAGAGTGGGCTAGGTTGAAAATTTTTAACAATATAAATTGGGTTACTTTGCTGTGTAGTGGGGCTTTAGCACTGGTAGGACTTGAGAGTTTCATCTCATCGATGGGGCAAAGTGCTCGGAGGGCTCCCCTGAAAATGTAATTGAGGGGAGCGCTTAAACCCACAACTTAACGTAGGTCGGGCGTAGCTCAGTATGCCAAGTATATAGATGCGGTCTTGGTCTCCTTTTTTCTTCAAATCTCGGATTAAATGGAAAAAATAGGAAGAATGTCCGGTTATGCTCGTTTTCCCCCGAGCTCGATCTGATGCGTGTCAAGTAAGGTTGTGCACGACTTTAAGCTTTGTGCCGATCTAGAAGTACCATTTCCCCTTTCTCTGTAAAGGTGGCACCTGGCTTCCTTTCAGAGTCTCCTCAGGGCGCCGTCAGCCGTACCGGGGACGAAGGCATCCAGCGTATCTCGCCCACCTCGGCCCGTTCTCGCAGTTCGAGCACTTCCTCGGCATCAAGTTCTGTCAGCGCGGCTCGAGCGTTTCCCCTGGCAAAGAAAGGATTTGGCCATTTCTAAACCCTTGGGAGATCTCCTTTGTCCTAGACAGCACATTTTACAATGTGCTCGTGTGTGTAATCTCATTTTCTAGTCGCAGCACCAGTTCATTGCATGTCTGGCTCATTGCTCCTTTCTCATCGGTGCTGCTGTTTATTTTGTACTAAACTCATCTCTTTCTTTCCCTCTCTGTTCCCATTCTACAGGGTGTTCCCCCAAAAAATTCCCAGGGTTTTTCTCACCACAAAAATAAAACATGCTTCGCCGAACGCTCATTCTCTGCCCAAATGTAACGCTAGCGTTCCGAACCAGACACCAAAGTTTCAGCACTAGTGTTATTTTATTCAAAAGTTATTAGTGATTTTCTTAAATTTTTAATAGGAAAATGGCGACCGACAGAGCTCTTTGATACATGGAGCTCTATGTTACCGAAAACGGGTAAAAATGGGGCCCATTTTCCCGTTGAATTTTCAAAAAAATCACGTAACTTTTTAATAAGATTACGGTTAGTGCTGAGACTTTGGCATCTGGTTTGGACCACTAGCACTACATTTGGGTAGAGAATGAGCAGTCGGCGATGCATGGTTTATTTTGGCGGTGGAAAAAACACTGTAAATTTTGGGGGGAGACACGCTGTAGTTGATTCAGGATGAGAAGTCTGTAACAAACTTGTTCATATTCGCACAAAAACTCTTCATACAAGCGTCATCCATTGTTGTTTTTAAACTAGAATCACGCCAGAAGGTGTTTTTTTTTTTTTTTCACAATGTGTCTTAGGGTTGTTGGCAACAAGCAAAGTAGTTGCAGACTGGTGAATGTACTTTTAAGCTGGCGAGTAATGTAAAGTATTACGACAATGTTCTGGAGCGTGTACAGCAACTGCTCAGTAACAGCGAAACATTTTTTTTTTATTCCGGTGACTTAGTTGCGTGCTTGAAGTTAGAGACTGATTTTTAACCGTGACTTATTTAATAAATGTTTTCTTCGGAGAAATGGTGTTCTTGTTCATGAACTGTCGAATCGGAAACATGCCCTGAAGTAAGTTTTGTTTATTACTGATGCAACTAGGAAGCAGGCATGTGCCTGTTGCTTCAAAAACTAAAGAATTATAATTACTCGATCATGAAATTGATGATCCGCTCTTACCGACTACTTATCATGTTGCAGGCTAAGAAAAGCAGCACAAAACCTCCTCCCTGCTAAACCCATCACTCGTTCCGTCAAAATGAGCGAACGCTAGCGAAGAGACGAAAAGGAGGCAAGTCCACTCGCCTCTTCTCCAGCGTTCGCCCGCTAAAGTGAAAAGAGTGGAGGGTTTTGAGGGGAGAAGCTTGTGCTGTTTTTCTTAACCTGGAACAGGGTAAAAATAAGTTCCTTCATTGTCTTACTAAATTAAGCTTCTATGTCACTACAAATCATCGTTGGAACACAACCCACCAGCAGATCCACTAGGGTGCCTCAATGTCCCTCTGTTTAAGATGATGCCATTCTTTTGATTACCCAATGCCGACAGCGCGCGCGCTCGGAAAAAATGACGTGGTAGCACCATCAATGTCAAAAGCTTGCGCTGGGAGACCCGCCTTCACGCGCTCCGGAAAAAAAAAGAAACAAAATGGTCAGATGTCATTAGCCTAAGCAAAGCTTAGGGTAATTACATCTGACCAAGGCACCTTAGTTGCACCCTTTCCGGACGCTAGCATTAAGCTGTAGCCAGCCTGAGATCGCTGTGGCCGACGTATACTGCCAAACTAGCGAGTTCCAACTCGGCTAGAACAATTTCCAGAGCTCAAAATCAAAACCTTAGGGGTCACGTGACCTTGGGGGGTCACGTGACCTCGCGGTGACGGCGACGCCGACGCCGCTCAAGCCGGAAACGGGCGCCTAAGAGCTGCACTCTAAAATAAAATAAAGCAAAAAGCAACATCAGAAAATGTTAGTCACGGTATCAATACTGTGATACCGCAATGAATTTTAATAACGAATATATATTCGACTGAAGAAGAATCTGCCATCACAGAAAAGTTTCCACTGTTTCGATGAATCGTCATCGAAAGTAAAAGCTTTCTTTTTGCGACGCGAACACTTATCATAACAGGTTATCTGAGAAAATAAAAAATGGCCAATCAATGTAACTAAATTGTAGTCGCACCTTGTCTTCCGGCGTAACAAAGAAGACGACAATATGAAATACAATATCTGGCACCACATTCACGAAAAGTTCTAAACAAACGTTTGTTTGGGTATTTCTTATTAATTACACATATCATATGGCATATGCTTATAATTTATATTTTGATTTGTTTCAAAAGAAAAAAAAATCATTCTGGATTTAGAGTGAAATTCTTTTTAATTTGATGTGAGAAAATATATAAACTTGCGAACGAAGAAAGTGAGACAGGGGAAAACGTAAAGCAGTAAAGAGCAAGTATGCACCAAAATACCATACACCGCCGCACCGGTACGCGTACAGACACGCGAACACACTTTGTGGATCACATGCTCCTATGCAGTTGATCACTACACACCAACAGACCAGAAATTCCCAACCACGTATGCTCAACACTGTTCAGGCGCGCGGAAGGTGTGACGCTAGCTACGAGACTGTTTCAGACCAAGTGCGGCCGCAGATTGCGCTACAACCTGTTTGAGCCAATCAAGAAGTGCCCAAAGTGTATCTCCGCGGTCTTCTTTCTGCTATGACCGGTTCAACCGATCACGCACAGAGAAAAGATGGCGGCGCATTCAGTGTGCGTGATTGGTTCAGCCGGTCATAGAACAAAGACAACGAGCGCCATGACGATACTAGCAGTCGTACTGCACTTGCTCTCATCCACAGCGAGGCACGAAACGCCCATCGAGGCTGGTTCACTTCCCGCTGTCTAAACAAACAAACAACACAATTACTTAAAAATGATAATTGAAGAGTCAGTTCTCCTTTCCACTTTTCTCTTGCGCGCCTTTTCCTAATGTACGCACGACAGTTTTTGTTTTTGTTTTGTTTTGTAGTTGTTGTGGGAACCACGAGTTTCCCGTCTCCCTATCTAGGCCTAGCACAAGCAGGCCGTGGGAGCGTTATGGCGACGTCATCCCGGATACGGGGGTAAGGCCGCATTCCTCGAAGAGGGCGTGTCTTCCCTCGCCCTTTTGGGTGAAAGTGCCTCCGGCGCACCCTTCGGAAATGATTGTGGACGCGGCCCATCTGCGGGATAAGCCACACTATACCTACCCCGGGCGCGTCCACTTTCCGCTGGCTAGATAAGCGGCCGCGAACGGCGGCCCGGGCTCTCGCCGGGGAAGGCTCTGGGCCACGGAGCCTCGTTCTTTTTGGAGCTTTCCCCATTCCACGAATCTGCCTAATGCGGCAGCGTGGGCCCCCTCCAGGTGAATCTGTCTAATGCGACAGCGCCGACCCTTTTCCGTTCTTTTCTTTTATTAGTTTGGCCGACGGGCACAGCGTGGTGGCACAACAGCCAAATAAACCTGCTTCTTCAGTATCTTTGTGTTTTGGAGTGAATCCTCTCCTCGGAGTCCACGGCAGCCTCCGGACGGACCCGGCCGTAGCAGTCCTCAACATCGAGCTACGGAGTGGGATCGACCTCGTGGTGCAGTAAGGCAAGTCGAATCCCACATTGTATTCACGCGGTGCGCGAGTACAACCTCCCCCCCCCCCCCCCCCCCCCCCCCCCCCCCGCACTTTGAATCAGCCACACATGCGCTTGTTTTGCCTTCCAATAGGACTTCAATGACATTGAACGCCCAAGAGGGGAATAGATTACTTTTATCTAGATGCGTTTAGGAGAAAAGAATAGCCGCTTTACACACGCGCCAAATTGCAGCCGCCATTGCTGTCCTCCTCTTGCCTTTCCCAGATGCCAAGCCACTAAAGCGGGCGTTGACGAACCCGCACAAAGACCAATGCTGTGGAGAAGGACACAGTTGAAACTAAAATGGCAATAACCTGCCATGTTGTGGTAACGATGAAGTGGAGTAAATGTAATAAGAGCAGACTTGTACCGTACGCATTACAAGTAATCAAATTACTATTGTAATCGATTACTTTTTGGAGTAATTTTGTAATCAGTTGATTATTTTTATTAGGCAGTAATCACAAGAGTAATCTTATTACTTTGTGAAGTAATAAAAATTACTTCTAACCATTACAGAGGAAACAAAAACTGAAGGTCGGTTATGGGCCTTATTGCGGCGCCCATGCACAGCTGCTCCAAATTGTCTATTCTTACATATATCTTGCCCAGCCTAGCGTCGTCGTCTTCTATGGAAGCGAATGCACTAATGACTGCAGTCAAAGAGTTTGTTTGCCACACATCGTTAGTTCCCGAGGTGGCCGCTGCCGTGTATTATGTGCGTGTTCGCCACGTATAGCGAACACGACCCATTGAGCCCAGGCAACGACGGCGGATGCAACGTCGGAGACGCCGACGGAGGGTAGCGAGCCATGGAGAAGCACGGGACTCCTGCAAGCCACAGGCTGGAAGCGGTCACAGACCAAATAAGACGCTTCTCATGACACCAACCGATTGTAACCTAAACAGTGAAATAAATATATCTCTGCATTATCCCAAATTACCCGGTACATCACAGCCGCTATGGGGCGCCACTCCTCGATCTCCTCCCCAATAGTCCGTTCCAACTCAAGAAGGTAGGGCGAGGGAAAGGAAGGCCGGGGACGCAGACGGAACGCTGGAGAGGGGAAAACCTCCTCCTTTCTTCAGTTGCAACAGAACCTGATTTGATTTTCTCACCAAGAACAAATCGTAATGACCACCAGTATACAGTACGACGTCGTCACGTGCAAACCATGTAATACCCTAGTTACACTAGCACTCTTAAAGAGCCCCTGACACGCCAAAAAAAATTTTTTTTTCATGCTAGGCATTGAAATGGCATATTAGGACATTACAAAAAAATTGTTTCACTATAGAGTTGCGTAGTTGTTTTTTTTTTTTTTTTTTTTTTTTTTTTTTTTTTTTATAAAAAATAGAAATACGAGGCTTAATTCAAAGTTCCCGCCGTGCACTGTGACGTAACAGTGTACCGCAAGGTGTCGGGGCGGTCAGAAGGGAGGCATCGCCGGAAGTCACGTGAGTTGTATCCCTCCTCGTGCTTACCGCGAGCGCGTGTAATATATATATATATATATATTTTTTAATCTTTTTGTTATTCTCCGCACCTCCATGAGCGATCCAAGCAGACAAGGTTTCTTTTATTTGCTTTTCATCGCTTAATGTTGCTGTAAAGGTAGAAGAAGCGAAGTCAGTGAACTGACGTGATCAACTACAATGCATAGAAGGTGCTGTGTGAGGGACTGTCCCGGTATTTCAGCAGCTGAAGAAGAGATCACACTGCATGTATTTCCGAGAGACATACATCGGCCGCATGTGCACCTAGTAAAAAAGTTCTATTCATGTTCCAGTCAAAATACGTACTTTGTGCTCGACGTTTACTTGTACTTGGTACACAAACCAGTTCGTATTCTTTAGACGGCAAGAATCTTTAGCCTGGAAAGTGTCCGATGATTCAACGACCTCGGTGTCTGAACCTTCAGCAATGCGATCGGGCATGTCGTACGCTAGCAATCCTAATTTCTGCTAGCGCTCTCTTTTTTTTTTTTTTTTTCAAAACTTGATAGTTTGTTTTTTGCCCAGTATAGCCCTGTATCATCGGGCTGACGGCATGCACTCGTACACTGGCTCGTACTCGCAACGCTTTCATCATTGACCTCCATCACGTCGATCCACTGACTCTTCGTTCTCAACTTTTACAGCACGCAAACTAACCAACGGTGCAGCGATAAAGAGCTAGTGGAACTGAAACTTCGTTTTCTACGATCGCTCGTACAAAGAGCAGTATATATATATATATATATATATATATATATATATATATATATATATATATATATATATATATATAAAAAATCTTACGCACGGTTGCGGAGAGCACGAGGAGTGAAGCTCATGCGACTTCC